CTTTTGTGGGGTGGGTCGAGGGGGGTCACAGCACCTACAGCTGCCTGAGCCCCTCCAGGATGGTCCTCTCCTGTGCTTGGTGCTGAAGCCCACCCTAAAGCGGGGGAAAAGGGGGGGGGCTGAGCCTTGAGGGTCCCCTGCTGAGCTTGGGTGCGTGGGCCCACCACGTGTAGCAGGGAGAGCTGCAACGTACCCTGCAAGGGGCAATGGGGGGGCCTAAAGTTATGGGGGGGGCTTAGAGGGAAGCTGGGCGCAGGGATGGAATAGGGGGGACCCCAAAATAGGGGTGTGGGGAGGATGTGGGGGGGGTGGGGGGTGGGAGGGGCCGTGGGCAGGGATGAGTGTGAGACAAAGGCGCGCTGGCGGCAGCTCCTTACTGCTTCATCTCGTGATTGATGAGCGCCAAAATAGACTTTTGCAGCAATGTGGAATAATTGGGCACGTTGAGAACGTTAATCCGGGGGAGAGGAGCAGAACAGAGGGGGGGGGGGGGATGAGACCCGCGGGGAGACGTCACCTCCAGCCCTGCTGCCATCGGCCCTGCTTGAATTAATAAAGCAATTAACGGCGGGTTGAGGTTCGGTGGCACCTCGAGGCTGTGGGGATGTGGAGCTTTGGGCCATTCACTGCCCCAAAGGGGGGAAGGGGGGGTGGGCACAGCTGAACCCCCGGGGTGTCGGAGCTGCCAGTGCCATCTCCTGGTGACTCATCCCGGAGCAGCCGGCCGTGAGCTGAATGGAAACGGCCGCCCGGGCGCCTCCTTCCCTCGCCCCATTAATTCCTTTCCCTCCAAACCCCCCCCCCCCCAAAAAAAAATGAGAAATAAACACCCTGAGATGGGGAGAAGGAAGGGATGAAACGTGATTTGAAACGTCGCCAGCCAGGAAAGACAAAGGGAAACTGAGGCATCGGCTGCTGGGGGTCCTCGAGGCTGCAAGAAGCAGCAGCTTTAATTCAAGCTGATCAATCCCACGGTGGATGGGTTCCCCAAAGCCTTGGGGACACACCTGAATCAACCCCCCCTCAGTGCCCCCCGTGAGGACCTGCATCCCCAAGGCCACCTGGGCACCAGGAAGCAGCCACAGCCACTGGGAAAACGCCGTTTAAGTGAAGGAGGTGATGCTGGGGATGGGATGTGGGGACATCCAGGAGCAGGTGGGTGCAAAGTGAGGGCAGCAGGGAGGTGTGAGGGAGGGGGTGAACCCTGGGGATGGATGGGAGCAGGGGGCAGGGATGCTTTCAGTGGGGTGGGAGCCTGCTGAGCAGGTTCTCCCTGCACACCTCCCGGTAAGCATTGCGGAGCAGCACGTAGGGGAAGCAGCTCTCCAGCATGTCCACAGTCAGGAAGGACGACTCCGCTACAATCTGGGGAGGTAAGGGATGTGATGTTAACAGCTTCCTCCCTCCCCTCGTGCCTCAGTTTCCCCTTTTGTCCCAAGCAGGCAGCGCTGGGTGCTCCCTCCCCGGATGTCTCTGAGCCCGAGCTACAGATTGAAACATTTGCATTTAAATTGCTTTGCAGTGCAGGGCGATCGTTCCCTGAATACCAATCCAGGGCGGGGGGTGCGCGGCCCCCACATCCAGCCCCCCAGATGGAGACAGGAGTGGGGTGAGGGCTCGGAACCCCAAAGCAGCTGCAGGCTGGGGGTTGCTGCACACGAGCTGGGCACAGCAGGAGCCCAGCAGCCCCCCAAGGACCCTCCAGAAGCCCCCCCAGGACCTCTTGTCCCTTCCACACTCACCAAATGCATGAGCAGAGAGACGGCGTCGCGGTTCCTGGAGCGCAGCTTGTCCGACTCCTGGCCCAGCTGCAGGAGGCTCACAGAAGCCAACTGAGGGATGGATCCTGATCAGCACCGGGCCGTGTTCACCTCCAGCAGGAAGGGCTGCACTCCCTCCCTCCCTCTCTCACTCACCAGCAGGAACTCCTTCAGGTGGGTCTCGATGTTCTTATTGTGGAGGGTGAAAAGCGCGGCTGACACGTGGATGATGGCCTTGGCCAGGCAGTGGATGTTGTTGTTGTAGCCTGGGGACACAGCGAGGTTGGGGACGGCGCAGGGCTGCTGCTCTGCCCACTTGCCTTGGCTGCAGTTAGGGGGCAGCAGACCTGCTCTAGCATAGCTGCCATTGGGGTCCTGCTGTCCCCAACGACCTTCAGCTGCAGCTGTGGGACCTCGGGGGTCCCAGCACACACTAAGGGAGAGTGGGGTCAGTGGGGACACAGCTGGGCACGGCCAAGCCTTACCATCCATCTCGGTGTTGTAGACGGATGCTGGGTCGGAGGCCAGCAGGGGCAGGGACACAGCCACAAAGACCAGCAGCAGGCAGGCCACCTTGTAGTCCTCCTCTGAGGATGAGCCATCTGCCCAAGAGGGAGCTGACATCAGTCAGGGGTCCAAGGAGGAAACCTCGGAGACCCCAGGGAGGTGACACGGGGTGGGGGTCCCAGGGGAGGACATGGGAGGTGACAGCAGGCATCCAGAGAAACATCTCAGGGGGGTGGTTGCAGCGACAGGCTGCTGGTGGAGGATCTCAAGGACAGCCCCCCAGGACCCTGCAGACCCCACAATACCCATCTTGCTGCCAGCGAGGACGTTCACCAGGGCAGGGTCGATCTCACAGGGGATCCCCGCAGCTGAAGCCAGCTCGAAGATGCTCAGGGTGACCTGGGAGGACGAGGACATGCCAGGCTAGAGCACACAGTGCCATGTAAAGTCACACTGTGTCATGAAACGCCATGCAGCACCCCACAGCACCACGAGGTGCCAACAGTATTGTGCCAGGCAGAAACAACCAACCCCTACACGGGGACAGATGTCCCAAGCATGGGAGGTGCCACCCTGTCCCTGTCCCACTCAGTGCCCACCTGGATGTCGGTGTCAGGGGTGACCACATCTGTCAGGCACTCGATAGGGCCCATCAGGAAGGGGCAGTGGTGGGAGAAGACCTGCAGGGAGAGAGTGCTCACTCTGTGAAGTAGAACCCAGGGTGATGCCCACGGGGCTCACATCGATTCTGTGGGGCACAGAGGGCACCCACCTCCCGCAGGCCCTGCTGTGCCATGGCACGGAAGCTCAGGATCTCACCGATGATGGTCATCCTCTTCAGGACATTGTCGGCTGCTGTGGGGGAAAAGGGGTCAGCAGAGATGTGTGTGTGCACAAGTGTGCAAACGTGCAAGCCTGTTTGCGTACAGGCCAAGACTCACAGGTCAGCCGAGGCAGAAGAGCTGCCATCTGCTCAGGCTTGCAGGAGCTGGAGCGCAGCTGAACCAGCGTGTCCATGTTCTCATTGACCAGTTTCTGCAATGGATCACAGCAGTGGGAACACTGTCCTGGTGCTTTTGCCCCAGCTTGACCCTTGTTAGCAAGCCCAAGGGGCAGGCAAGGAGCTGGGATGGTCCCCAGGGTGGAACTGCCTGCCCTGGTGCTCCAACACCCACCCCTAGCACACTGAGCCTGGTCCCAGGACCACAAGCCTGGTGTCAGCACATCCAACCTGGCCCCAACACCTCAAACCTGGCCCCAAACACCCCAAACCTACCTTCAGCTCAGCGACCTGGGAGCTCACATGCCACATGAGATTGTCACTCAGGAACTTCATGCCATACGGCCCGATGAGTTCAGCCAACGCTCGCATCTCTGTGGGGATGGAAACAAGGATGGGGACATCACAGGGGGACAGAGGGGATGAACCCCTACACTGTCCCCTCCGCATTCCTCACCTGAAACATCAGAGAACTCAGCAGCACTGAAGGATGGCTCGCCCTCACGGGGCACCGTGGTGAAGGCCTGCAGGGCAGGTGCCAGGACGATGGCCCCAGTGCTGGCCTGGCGCAGCAGAGCCTCCAAGTACCTGCAAACATCGAGCTGCTGACACTGACAAACCAGGACCCACAGCACCAGAGATCTACATCCCATTTAGGAGATAACCCAGGCACCTGGGGACGCTGGCACCCACCAGTTGGTGTAGATGGTGGTGAGGGTCTGCTCCCCGCTGGCATCACGGGGCTGTGTCTGCTGCAGGAGGACGCTGCGGATGATGCGTGCCGTGTCCAGGCCCACAAAGTGTGTCAGTGATTGGATGAAGGTGATGTAGGCACCCAGACCCACCAGCACCTCTGAGGGACGAGCCACCTCCTGCGTGGCCTGGCTGTAGCACGCCATGGCCACGATGGCCCTGCAGGGACAGCATGGGGGTGGCTGTAG